AGGACCAAATAATGTCATGGATTATATCAATATCTTTGTCAATAACCCACTTCCTATAGTCGAAGAGAAAAGGAGACAATGAACAACAAGTCAAACAGTTATAACTCATAATGCACCGAACATCTGGTCACAGAGCTTATTTATAGAGGTAGAGATTGTGTGTGTGTGTGTGTGTGTGTGTGTGGGAAGTCAAGAATGTGTGTGTGTGTGTGTGTGTGTGTGTGTGTGTGTGTGTGTGTGTGTGTGTGTGTGTGTGTGTGTGTGTGTGTGTGTCTGAATGAGTGAGCATGCAGAGAGGCATAGAGTAATACATTTACATTCAGCTGATTGAGTCCATGATTAAGAATTAATAAACATAAGTTTTTCCATAACATTGGTCATGAAGGTTTTGAGTAGATGGTAATGAAATTAAATAAAAATGAAAATAAATGTTATGTCTCTGCATTGCAGAAATGGGGAATTGTGGCATCAACAAATCATCTCCATGCGGTGTTTTTCTTCAGCTCAGCAACTAAACCAGGTGATTTCAATCAGCACAGTGAAGAAAAGCAGGAGGAATAAAAACATCTTTGATTGTAAGTTTTCTTATTGCATGATTAAATAACATTAATGAGCTCCAGGTGCAGGCTGGTATTAAAAGAAAAGTTCATTCTTTTTCAGATCCAGTCCTGTTTTTGATGCTCATTACACTGAATCATAACCAAGTTATTTCACGGGCTAAAGTATGAATGTTTTAAAGTTGGACTGTAAATGTATTCAGCATTTCAAAGACCTTCTCAGATTCAAATGAAAATAAAGATGAACACGCAAACTCCAAACGGTGAACTTTGTTGAATAAAAAGCATCAATTTGCAGCCATAAGTACTTAGGTTAGATTTGTTTATGAATTAATGACAAGGACATATTTGGATGAATACAACAAATTAGTCTTTGACTGTGAACAAGAAACTCTGAGAACAGCAACATTTCAGCGAATCACTCTAAATGTCATGGTACTCTTACAATCAGTTTTAAAAACATTTCCATACAAAGAGCTTCTTAGTTATTCTTCAAACTCTTGGGATGGATCTTAAATGTCCACTACTGTCAAAGATATTTTGTTGCATGATGCACTCTTGTCCAAGAAAAAAAAAAAGAACTATCTGGATTGTGTTGAGTCTGCTTGTATCCCCACAGCCTTCCGTTTATCTTATATGCATGTTCAGTTTTATCTTTTAAAGCTGCCATTTTAAGCTTCAGTCTGTTGAAACCAGTTAGATGAAATCTTTTGTCTAAAAAGTTGGTTGCTTTGTAATGCTCTGTGGTTTTACGGGCTTTGGTGTTAAAATAGTTGGTCTTTCAGTAAATATGCATGGTTTGAAGAAAATCTGTGAACCCGCGCCTTTGTTCTCATGAATGCAGCACGACGACGTCCGTAGCGTTTTGTCGTGCTCACAGGGAATAAGACGAACCACAGCTTTCAGCTACAGATAACCAGGCCAATATGGTTTCCTCGAAACCCTCTTCAGGGACATATTTTTCTCTTATGTGACTGTAATCGAGTAAATAATAAAAATGTAAATTGGCATGCCACAAGCAATGTAGATGCAAAGGTCAAGCAAAAGACGAGCATTAAAATTCTTTCGGGACTTGCCTGAAATGTGGGAGGTGGACACAAAGACTAATTTATGGAATCGTTTTATGCAGCGGCAGATGCTCTGCATTTTCAATGAGCTGCGATCTGATAAGGTTAAAACATCAAGACAAAACTGTCGCCCAACATTTTGAAATTTTGCAAGTTCTTTTAAACCAAACGGTTGTTTTGTTTCCGGGCTGCAACAGATGTGTTAGAATAGTTTAGATGATGAAATCCAGTGCAAGCCAATGGTCCATTGTCCAGGTATGAACAAAGTGAATCTGGAGACTGAAATGTTACCTGATGGTTGATGATAAAATTCTGCCAAGATTCAGTTCTGGTTGCTGGGAGACTGGAGGTATTTCAGGGAAGTTCTTTCCACCTTGATTGTATCAGTCCAGCTGTCAGCCTTGGCATCGTATTGATGAAAGAAGTGAGAGAGGAAAAGACAAGCAGCGTTTAAAAGGGTGTGGGTTTAAAATATCCTCTGTGTTGAAGAGTTGTGTTTAATTCAGAAGCTACATATTTTCCGTATTTACTTCAGACTGAGTTGGAAGCAAATATGGCAGCTTGCTGAAGAGAGCCATACTGAGATTTTTACAAATTGACAGCAAATCGTATGTCAAAAATACCTGTGTGTGTGTGTGTGTGTGTGTGCGTGCGTGCGTGCGCGTGTGTGTGTGTGTGTGTGTGTGTGTGAATCCTTCTGACTGTAAATTTCAAGGAATTACAACAGAAGACTGAACCCTGCTTAGAAACAATTAGCATGATCTGAAATGAAAAGCTGAACAGAGGTCGGTACTCGTAATGTCCTGTAGACTCGTTGAGCGGAAGTATTAGTTAACTCATGCTGAGTGGTTTAACTCAATAGGAAATGACATCTGCAGACATTGCCCAAAACAACAGTCAACCCATCCATACATCCCTTTTCTTTACCCGATATTCCACGTAGGGTTGCGGCAGGCTGATACCTCCAGCATTCTTCAGGCAAGCAGGCAGGGCACAACCTTGGACAGGTTGCCAGATCAACGCAGGGCAACACAGAGACACGCAGGACAAACAATCATGCCTGCACTCACTCACATTAAACGCACAGTTCTTGCTGCTTTAAAACTGCCGTTACTAAACTCCCAACACTGAAAAACGTAAATCCCTCCACAACGATGTAACGTGAGGAAATATGAGTTTTCTGTCACAATGGTGGTGTTGGACTCAGCTGTGTCAAAGCTGGGTCGCTGAGAACTTTCACCCACAGATTAAGACCTGAACGCCAGCGAGTCTGGGAGGAAACCATAACATCTGCCACCTGCAGTCTACCAGAAGATGTGTTTACATGAGTTGTACCCAGACCAAGTCAAAACATAAAGTTTAAACTTCTTTTTCTTGATTTTAATGTTAAAGTAACCATTATCATTTTGCTCATTATAAATGTGTTTAATCAAATGAATGGTTCTTATGCTTTTGGGGTAATTATAATGGTTTAATGAATCCATTCTTAAATAATGTTGAGAATGTTTGTTACTGACCTTCACACACACTCAAGCGCAAACATCCACACACACCTGCTCACAGTAAACTCCAGACACATTTGATGACGCACGTTTGCTTTGAGAAGAGAAAGGTTTTTGGTAAGCTTCAGTCTTATGATTCAGTTCGTGTTGGACAACGAGAGAGAACAGACCTGAAAACCAAAGGGGGGCAGAGCCTGTTGGCTCGTTCTCCCCCCCTTTCACGCTGTTTCTGCCACGCCAGGCAGAATAGCTGAATCGCAACTTCTAACGCAGACTCACTACCGAGTCTTTTGATTTCTGAGTGAATTAACTTAAGAAAGCGCGTCGACAAAACGCTTTACCATCAACGTGTACCGAGGACAACTCTGGACCGGGTCGCAGCGCATCTTTGTCTTCTCTGCCAGCCAAGGTGTCCTGGATGAAACATCCTAAGGTGACGCCCCGGATCCGAAAGAGGGTCCAAAAGAATTCGGTGAGACAGAACACGGTGTTTAGCGTTTTGATGCATCTTTTCCAACTAAGAGCCTAAGTTTATTCAAACCATCACTTTTCACTCAGACACCTGTTTCTTCCTGAAGCAAAATCAGATGCACTCACGCATACATCTCATCTCATATCACTCTCACAATCACAACATTCTCAATCTTCATAAATTCATCAGAAGGTCTATTTGAGCCAGAACAGCATATCAACTGTTAAAGAGATTGTCCCACAAAGTTACTAATGTTGATTGTATTTCATGTTTGTCGATTTCAAAATCATTAGTTTAATTTGAAGAATTAAAACTTTTAAACGTCAAACTGGTTTCCTCATTGAACTGAAACACAGACGCTCAGATATTATCGGCAGTTTATGGATGAAAACAACCTTTGAGTCTTCTGAACAATATAAATTTGGTTATTGATTTATTAAAATTAATATTCCGAATTAATACGTAGCATGGTTTCTCTTTCATAAAAGAGCATAAATCCATAACGCTACATTTAATGGCGAGCGTATCCAGTCTTCTATATCTGCGATATGTCTGATTTCTTACATCTAAAAGCTACAAACAACGCTTTTCTCTGTGTTTCACTTTGATGTCTTATTTTGAACTTAACCGGAAATTGTTCCGCTCACTAAATTCTCCGAACCTCAGAACCGAGACTAAATTCTCGGACACCTTTCGTCTCAGTGTGTTGACACTGTGGGCGAGCTATTGTGGAAAATATTTCCATTGCATGAGCGACTTATAGAAGCCGAATCTGAACGGAATGCCCGTAGGCACCTACTGTTGCTTGATTGCACGGTAAACGTCGTAAGCCGGGTTATGGCCGTCACGCGTTACTGCATTCAGATTGCGTACGCTTTTTAAAGTCCGTATTACAAGCGGGGCGAGATGCCTACTTGTTAATCGGGAAAATTTAAGTCTGGTCGCTACAGACAAAGAACGCTAGACCTGGCCGGAGAGCTAAGCTAGCACCATAGTTAGACAAAAAGGGAACGCGTCCCGTTAGATTGTCATACCATTTCTGACACAGTCAGTCTGTGTCCTCACAAAACCCGCATTGGCGGTGGTTCTTGTAAATCGCTACGGTGTGTAGAATCTACATTTTGCTACGTTTGTCCGTCTGATAGCATCTCGGCAGCGTAGGGTTTATTATTTTTTTATTATTTTTATTTTGGACCGGTGATCGGGTCGGCTTTCACAGCCTCCGTTGCTCGGTTCCATGCCTTTTTCTTCCATCTTGTGAAGTTGTGTGTATTCATTTCTCTATCAACAATTCCTTGTTTTACCCTGTGTCATGAAGTTAAGTAAGCTACGGACAGTCCTTGTTTGTGTGAGACATATTAAGGAATCTGCCCGGAGTTTTACGTCGGCTCAGAAGGTAAAAACGCGAGTTGCTCTGAACTTAATGGGAGATGGACGAGACACGACAAGATCTTTCTTGCACTGTTACACCTGATGTAAGGTTCTCTGACGTTCTGCTTCCAGAACATGCCAAGACGCAGGAAATTCACCGGCCGAGCATCGCTGGTCCCTCCGCCCGCCCGAACGGGCCCGTTTTAGGCGGGTGCCGCCGGTCGGGAGCAGTGGGGACTAGTGGCTGCGGTTCGGTGCCAGCTGCACTGGGTCGGAGGTGGTTCTGGTCTGCAATTCATGACGTGAATTCATGCAACATAATGTTTACAGTCATAACGCTTTTTCTTTACTTTTATTTCTTCCAGGGGGTCAAAAACCCACCATCAATATCAAGGTTTGAAATAAACAACACTTTCTCTGCTGCTTTTAAGCTGAATAAATCTCTTGAGCCTATGGTTAACCTCTCTGACAAACAGGTTGTGCTTAACCATTTGTTTCCTAATGCTTCTCCTCTGTCATCCATGTTAAAGGCTGAACATCTCTCCAGCATGGGTGTGCAATCTTCAGGCTGTGATCCACCGCTTCAGTCAGAGGTCTGTTTTACTCGTCAGTCCGCCTCATGCACAAACCAGCTTCTTTATCGGGGCGTGATGGAAAAGTCAGCCGCCGTGACACACTTGTGGTCTCCGGACGGAGCTACCATGCCATTTAAGGGGTTTGTGCCCGGACATCTTGACCTTTATGTGAATGACCTTGTCACTTTTCAGTTTGTGACCTCTGCTAATACGGTGGCCAATTCTTTTCTCCTTTCACAGGGGTGTGACTTAGTCTCGGGCCTCTGTGCTCTCTTTCCTGTGATTTCTCTTACAGGTGACCACGACGACGCAGAAAACCCTGCGGGTTCCAGTAGTCAAGTGGTCAGTGGCGATATTGAAGGAAGCTCGGTGGTTGCTGCGATCATCTCTCTCACGGGCCCGGGGGTGCCACCCGGCCCGGGAGGTGTAGGTGCGTGCAGTGATGCTCTGCTCGGGGCCCCTCCTGACAAAGGGGGGGTGCTGAGTGGCTCTGAGTTTTCCGTTGCGGACTTCAACCGGTTCGGGGGAACGCCTCCTCCGAGCGGGCGGGTCATTGCAGAACTCGACACTGACCTTCCTCCAATTCAGCTGACAACATTGACCTCCGACCCGGAGTTAGGTGCTGCACCTTCTACGGGGCGGAGTTCTAGTCAGTCTGTAAATACTCTGGTTAAACCGGGTTTTTCTGATTCAGTGTGGGAACCTCCATCATTCTTGGGAATAAAGTATTCTTGGCTTCAGTTTTCAGGACAGACCATGTTCCTAAAGCTAGCATCATGTCTGTATCTGATTCTAAACATGGCTAGGTTTGCTTTGACACCCGTGACACAACCATCCTTGGATCACTCCTTTTCAGAACCTCCAAGTCCAACACCTCCAGGTCTTTGGACATCTGAACACCTACTCTTTCAGCACGATTCAGGTGACAATGTGCATCTTCTTGGTAATAGAGCTTTTAAGAGCTTAAGAACTGTTCTTTGTTATGCTTCTCCTGTCTCACAGACACGGCATACGTTTGAGAAACAAAAGGGGGGTGGGGAGCCTCCTCCCGCTTTGCGAGCATCATTTTCGCATTTCCAGTTCACTACTATTTCTGATCACAACAAAGTCGCCTCCGTTAAGCTGCAACACAACTTTGAGCAGGTAAAATCAGGTTCTGATCTAACAGCTAAACCATCAGCTTCGCTCCAGTTCCAAACGGAACCCTCAGGTAAATTCAAACAAGTTTCCCTGTGGGTTCGTAACACAAGATACAAACAGTTTGATAACCAAATCGCTTATGAGCCTGCTCCCACAGATACGTCCAAACTCGTGTCTCTGTGGGTCCGCAATACCAGATTCAAAACTCTATTCTGACCGGATTCTTTTCCACTGACTGGTGGACCGTTACAAATTCTCTCGTTTGTGGGATGAATTTTTAACAAATGTGATATCCTTTGGGTTTTTTTTTCAGGTTACCTGCCTCCAGCCAGGGTCCTGTTACTAACTCACATCTTTAGGGATTACTAACCTACTGATTTACATTTTTAGAACTGATTTACATCTCTATCTTTTTATTAGTGCTTTGTGTAGCATGATTATATTTGATTACAAAGTTAATTTTATTTTGTTACTATTTCCCTTAAAGGGCCACAAGCCAATTTGCCCTTCATTTTCATGATTTTTTTTTTGTTATATATATGCCTTTAATTAGTGCAGCCTGCTGAGTTTCACATATCAGTTAGGATTTGCTTTCTTTTATTTGTGTTTTCACTGCATCACGTTTTTACATGACACGTAGAACAGGGTGCAGAACATTTCTTCTTTAGATAATTCACAAAAGGCACCCACATTTTCCCAGAGGCACCCATAGATAGGTTTTGATTGATTTCTTTGTTTTGCATCAAATGCTATCTATCGTGTGGGCTGTCTCACTTTGTCTCCTTCTCCGAGCTCGTATGGACTACATCCCATCAGAGGGGTCGTCTTCACCATCCTTCAACTGGTTTCCTGTCGCATGGGGCTTCGGTCGTGGTTCGAGATGGGTCGAGGTCTGCGCTGGACTTCGCCTGGACTACGCCTGGGGAATACATCACCTGCCCAGCTCCGTGTGGCACACGAGCTGCTTATCCTTTGCATACCTTTGCATTATTGCTGATGAAAATTAACTGCTATTGAAATAGCTCTGCTTTCAAGATTCCTAAGTGGATTACTTTACAATGATTGCAACAGTTTTGGCCTTAATCATCTGATCAGGATAGACTCCCTTCTACACGAGACCTGTGGTGACGCTTCATCGTTCCTGCCTTCATCTGGGATGTCTACCTTTACGAGTACATCACGTTATTGTGGTTGTGACGTCAGGTGGCCTCTGCTTGACCTCCATGTCGTCACAAAAGGGGGGAATGTAACGTGAGGAAATATGAGTTTTCTGTCACAATGGTGGTGTTGGACTCAGCTGTGTCAAAGCTGGGTCGCTGAGAACTTTCACCCACAGATTAAGACCTGAACGCCAGCGAGTCTGGGAGGAAACCATAACATCTGCCACCTGCAGTCTACCAGAAGATGTGTTTACATGAGTTGTACCCAGACCAAGTCAAAACATAAAGTTTAAACTTCTTTTTCTTGATTTTAATGTTAAAGTAACCATTATCATTTTGCTCATTATAAATGTGTTTAATCAAATGAATGGTTCTTATGCTTTTGGGGTAATTATAATGGTTTAATGAATCCATTCTTAAATAATGTTGAGAATGTTTGTTACTGACCTTCACACACACTCAAGCACAAACATTCACACACATCCACACACACCTGCTCATAGTAAACTCCAGACACATTTGATGACGCATGTTTGCTTTGAGAAGAGAAAGGTTTTTGGTAAGCTTCAGTCTTATGATTCAGTTCGTGTTGGACGAGAGAGAACAGACCTGAAAACCAAAGGGGGGGCAGAGCCTGTTGGCTCGTTCTTCCCCCCTTTCACGCTGTTTCTGCCACGCCAGGCAGAATAGCTGAATCGCAACTTCTAACGCAGACTCACTACCGAGTCTTTTGATTTCTGAGTGAATTAACTTAAGAAAGCGCGTCGACAAAACGCTTTACCATCAACGTGTACCGAGGACAACTCTGGACCGGGTCGCAGCGCATCTTTGTCTTCTCTGCCAGCCAAGGTGTCCTGGATGAAACATCCTAAGGTGACGCCCCGGATCCGAAAGAGGGTCCAAAAGAATTCGGTGAGACAGAACACGGTGTTTAGCGTTTTGATGCATCTTTTCCAACTAAGAGCCTAAGTTTATTCAAACCATCACTTTTCACTCAGACACCTGTTTCTTCCTGAAGCAAAATCAGATGCACTCACGCATACATCTCATCTCATATCACTCTCACAATCACAACATTCTCAATCTTCATAAATTCATCAGAAGGTCTATTTGAGCCAGAACAGCATATCAACTGTTAAAGAGATTGTCCCACAAAGTTACTAATGTTGATTGTATTTCATGTTTGTCGATTTCAAAATCATTAGTTTAATTTGAAGAATTAAAACTTTTAAACGTCAAACTGGTTTCCTCATTGAACTGAAACACAGACGCTCAGATATTATCGGCAGTTTATGGATGAAAACAACCTTTGAGTCTTCTGAACAATATAAATTTGGTTATTGATTTATTAAAATTAATATTCCGAATTAATACGTAGCATGGTTCCTCTTTCATAAAAGAGCATAAATCCATAACGCTACAACGACATGATCCTCAGGGCTTTGTTATCACACAGAGTACTGTGAAAAAGCAGTGGCTGTCCTGGCCATTGAAAGCTACAGTTCACACAGCAGCTCTACCAGTCCTCTAAATGGATAAAAAAAAAAATCAAAACAAATGACGGAATACTGATGTTGTAGCAAAGTCCTGAAAGGACTGAATTATTATGGAGACACAACAGCTGAGAGGACCGGGCCGTTGATTCTCCTGCTCAGTATCCCCTTCCCAGAAATGACCCCGAAGTTTCGACAATGGAAACACGCCTAAACCAGTATGAAATATGGATGGCCATGGTGTTATGTGGGTCATTTTGTTAAGTCCTTTTTTAAAATCAACTCAATGATATAGAATTTAATCCCCATCTCTCCAGCTGAAAAGTCCTAACAATTACCCATTAATCTTTTTAACGTGATGGTTTAGGAACCCAGTGTCTGCCTCTCCTGCTCACTTTCCCACCCCCTTGCACACCTACTGAAATTAACTGCAGGATTTACATTTGCATCCTTCCATTAGCATTTATACGGTCTACAGAAATCTAAGGCGGATGGCGGTGAACCCCTGGGACTTTCCTCACAGGTGGGACCAAGTTTGGAAGATAACACAAACCAACTGCTCCAAAGATGAAATGACTTGCCGAAATCTAAGCTGAGCATTTAATTTATTGTGACTTCAAAAGGAAATGGCAATTAAAGAACTTCAAAGGCAAAATAACTGTATCAATAAGCAAATAATGAGATGGTTTTCTGCAATGCAAGCCTTGATATAGAAAAGTGATGGACTTAAACAGTTTGCATACTTGTGTATTGTGATGCTAGTAATAGTTGTAAGTCAACATGTCCTACAATAAATTATACAAATGTATTAAAACTTGTTAAATGTACAAAAAGTAAGAGTTTTACAGTAAAATGATCACAAATCTTTGTTTTTCTTTTAAAAAGGTCAAAGCGAAACATTTTAGTTTATAATCTGTGACCCGTGGTGTTGCAGTCTGCTCCGAGCTCATGCTGTAATGTTCGTAATTTAACGCTAGCTGACAAAACGCAGCAGCATTTTGTTAAAGTCCTGAGCAAGCAATAGGAGTGCCCCAGAAGTTATTTTTTGAACCCATAAGAAGCCACAACAACTTTTTGTATTAATTCAATATTGGGTGAAGAAGGCTAGAGACTAACAATGCTAACAGTGAATTAGAAACAAATGGTTGGCTCTTAAAACATCTCAAGCTACATATTCAATTACCAAACATTCAATATTACGGTGAAATATATCTACCTATCAACTTAGTGTGTATGACTCGTTTTTGCTCTTCATTTAGAATCTTCTGGTGCTGAGTCCTAGTTAGCAACAGCCATGAAACTCAATGACCAGGAGTGAGAAAGTTTAGAAAAGGGCTGCAGTACCCAAGTTTGACCACAGAATGTTGTTCTTACTTCCATTCTTACATAATTAACTATTAAATAATAGCAAACTAATGTTTGTAAAATGCAAATGATAAACAAATAAGCCTTCGGTTTACATCAGACCATAACAATAACAAAGGACACATTTCAAAGCAGTTGTAAATTGATGTAAAAGTGTTAAGATTACATTATAATAACTTCTCTGACAGTGCATTGATATTTAAATTAGTTATGGAGAAATTATAGTTTATCTTGTAAATTGTGCAAATTATAGGAAACCTAAAAGGACGGTTGAGTCATAAAATGGTTCAATGACAAACCAGTCTGTGTGGTTAGCTTTAAATCTGACATTTTTATTCTTTTATTACTATTTAATGTCTACATTTTTATTATCCTGACATCTAAGAATAATAGATAATAATAATATCCATAGTCTAGGCTAATATATGTTAGCATTTTAATGGAACACAAAGACTTTTCCTTTGAAAGAATTTATTCTTAACCTTCTTTTCTTGTGGAGTCCTAGATTTCAGCATGACTTTATCTGAAAAGCAACCAATGCTTTAAAAGTAAGAAATAAAGGAAAGGTTGGCAGCAATTAGTGATTTTCATCTTTTTAAAAGATAAACTGATGTAAAGTATTGGTACAAATGTGCATTAGCCTTAGATGAAAGACAAGTGTGGCAATCCTGGCTCCCTTCCACAGTTTCATTCCACCAAAATATGTTGCCTAGAGATTAGGGCATGAAAGAGAGCAAATAAAACGAGAAACTAATCAAGCATAACCTGGAAAATGGTCCAGCCTTTTGGCAGACGAGCTGCTTTTGTCCCTGTACTAAATCACACCAAGTATAAATCTTCTACATGTGCAGTCATCGTTTGGAGTGTCATGATGATTTTTCAACAATGATCTATAACATAACACTTTGATACTTTTAACCTCCCCTGCGTTGCCTTTTTTTCAGTATCATTTAGGGAGTATCTGATACAAAGTGCATTGTTATGCTCCACACCTTTGGATCACGTGACCTTCACCCTTTAGATTGTCAATCATCTGTGCGCCCACGCATGAATATATGATGCAATGTTTTGTGTTGACATGAAATGTAATCTGGGTCCAGTATGCAGG